TCTGAAGGAAAAGCTAGGAAGCGGAGACACAGAATCCATCTACTATGCAGAAAAGGTAATTTTAAAAAGCACTTTTAAAAAGCCAGAAGAGAAGTTCCTGCCACATTACTGCATTTGCTCTCTTTTCCTCTCTGTCCAAACCCAAGCTTAAAAGAAGCTGACAACATTCGGGTCTCTGTGGTCACAATGACAACATCCGTGCCTTATGGTCTTTGGGTCAGAACTTACTGATTGGAGTTGTGGTCCTCAGCTGATAAGCAGGCAAAAGAGAAGCACCCAGACACAAAGGAACCCATTGGAACACAGACAACTGCAAGTCCCTATCCTTTCTAATTTGGGAGCCATGTGACTGGACTTCACACAGCACCGCTGACCCTGGGCAGCCTGAGTGCCTGTAGTTGGACCACAAAGGGAGGAGATGTTACTCTTTGCCCCTTCATTAAAATATTGTGTTACACACACGGCAGGGCAAGCTGTCTCCCGGATGACAGGCAGCTCCTTGGTAAGCAGTCCGTCAGTCTCCAGCACCTGGCAGAATCATTTCTGTCCAGATTGATTCCAAGACTTTAAAAGAGGCATTTTATCCTTACCAAGAGTGATCCATTTGATATCACAAAGGTACACACTGCTTTAATCAAAGACAAATAGTGAGATAAATACTAAAAAAAAATGTTCTTCCCAACCAGCTATTAGAATAGTATAGATTTGGAATATTTTTTTATTGGACTTAGGGTAGGGACAGCAGCAGGAAAGAACTTGATCTCCCTATGGCTACAAAAGCACAGCTAACTCCAGATTGTATCCGAAAGAGGATGTTCCAAAGTGCTCATCGCAACTCTCCGGATTCTCACCTTTCTTTAGAGTAGCAAAGGAATAAAATAACATCAGCACATGCTCAAAAGAAATCACTGCCAAATACTGCCACTGAAACTATCTTTCATGACAAAGTAAAAAACACCTACTAAAATACGAAAGAATTTAAAAATACTTCCAAGCAATACCAAAACAAATATTTTTGCTGTTGCTTTTGTTGAAGGTATTTGGTCCTGTTTAGGATCCATCATGCAATCATTATCAGTCATCCCTTTGATTGAAGAGCTCAACTCCCAGTCCTAAGAGCATGGGCTCTGGAGACTTACTGCTTGACTTCAGGTGCTGGGTGTGCCTCTTACCATTTGTGCAACCTTGAGCAAGTTATTTAACCTCTCTGTGCTTTAATTTGTCTGAAAAAATGAGAACAGTAATAGCTTCATTCTTTCTTCCAGCTTATTAAGAGACTTAAAACACCACAGCATTACCAAATAAATAAAACCTGTGGGCCTCAGGTTTTACATGAAAGCACAATTAGAGACTAGGCTAAAGTAATCTTAGAATATTTTCTACTAGCTAACAACTAATACTGTATACATTAACATCAATTCAGATGGGCCTAATTTCCTTAAGTATTCTACTCAATATCAAAGGGCATTATTGGGGGATATTCAGTCTCATTGTCCCTTCTTCAACCCTCCCTCAGAGTTCACTTTAGCCCATGTGGTCAGACCCCAGCCTAGGACCCAGGAATACCGGAGACCCATGAACAGAAATGGAGCACCCAGCATGTCAGCTTGTTGTATTGATCACCTTTCTTTTGTAAGTATTGTACTTATTAATAAAATTGGATGATATTCTTTTCCTTGAGTTCGAGCTGACCCTCAGAGCTTGGCTGAGGGCAATCAATTACACTGTCTACTGTGCAGTCAGCAATCTAGGCTGGATTTCCTCAGCAGGCACAATACCTCCAAGCCAACTTCCTTACCTCTGCAGAGGGATGTTTTAAAAGGCTGCTCATTGATTGCTTTAAAATCTTATGGAAACAGGTTTATTAATGACTTGTTAAGTTTTCCCTCAAACTCAACAACACGCCCCAACCACCATCAAAAACAACCACCAGTGCTGGGGGTGTAGCTCAGTGGTAGAGGCCTGCCTTGCACCTGTGATACACTAGTTTTGATCCTCAGCACCACATAAAAATAAAGACACTGTGTCCATCTACAACTAAAAATAAAAAAATACACCAACCACCACCAGCGATCCAATTAAAACTTAGTTTCTTGAAAAGAGACTAACCCCAGTTTCTATTTCTGAAGACACATGGTATGAAACAGAGCAGATGGAAAGAAACAGTAATGACATTAAAGACCAGGCACCGAGAGCAGCGAAAAGGACAAGTCTAGGTACCAGGTGACTTGAACTTGTGCAAAGGCTCTATCAGTAGAGAGTCGTGTGACTTTGGATAAGTCTCCCCACCAAAATGGGACACCGATTCTTTATCATAGAACAAAGTCAAGGGGGAATGGGGGTAGGAATGAGATGGACATCATTACCCTAGGTACATGTATGACTGCACAGATGGTGTGACCCTACTTTGTGTACAACCAGAGAAGTGAAAACTGTGCTCCATTTATGTAAAATGAATCGAAGAGCATTCTGCTGTCATGTATAACTGGTTAGAACTCATAAATTTAAAAAATAAAAAAGGTAAAAAACCCAAGGTCATCTAAGACCCTTTCAAACTGTACTTCCTCAGCCCACAATACTAACATAATTCTTCTGAGATTGCAACTTCTCCAAAACACCTAAGAAATGGGGAGGGCGGGGGTAAAGAAAAATACGAGACCTTTTTAGTTCCTTTAAAACTTTTTAGGATCATTCTGTCACACACACACACACACACACACACACACACTCTCTCTCTCTCTCTCTCTCTCTCTCTCTCTCTCTCTCTCTCTCTCTCTCTCTCTCTCTCTCTTTTAACCTTAACATAAACATATACCTCAAAATAAAACTTCCTTCACCTTCAACCACTTACTATCTTATATCAACTCAAAGGATACAAAATGAGGAGTCCCATCAAGCTGCTCTGTCCACGTGGCTGCATGCAGCCCTGGGGGACACCAGGGCAATGACCGCCAGCCAGGAGACCTGGAGGACAAGGGCCAGGGCTGATGAGAAGCAGGCTGGCTGGCCTCTGAGGTACATCTCCCACAGTGTTAGAATTTGGACTTTTATCACTGATGAGGTATCACGGCCTGATGATGCGGGTGACACAGCTGAAACTTCATCTCCAGACAGCCTGGAGAATTTAGGCCACTAAATCTTAGGCTAAAATACTATGACCTACTCCAGGATGCTAAGGATTTGACTCTGTCCGTGCTAATGCCCCACACCCCTGCTGCCCAGACCATGGCCACTTCCTGTTCTCCGTGGCTTTCCTCCAGTTCCCTCCTGTTCAGACACTACTCGCCTCATACCTTCATGGACACCACTTCCCTGCGGCTTCTGCAGTAAACCTCTCAGCCCAGACCACCTCCAGTTCCTGAGCTGGTTTTGATCAGATGTAAACAGCTTCCATTCACCCTAGAAAGTCGGGGTGGAACTGAGAGGAAATTATCTACATGCCTGTCACACAGCACTCTGTTGCAATTCAGTCACCAGAGACGATGAGGAAGCAAAGGACTAACTTGTCACCCTCCCCTGGGGAACATCCCCTCTCAAGGTGCCTCCAGTTAGAACACCCCACTCTCTGACACACTCCCTTTTCAAGGATTCCCCACCTCGGGACACCCTCCCCTCTGGGACCCTCAAGGAAACCCTCAGAGCTCATTCCCCTCGGGGACCCTCAGGGAAACCCTATTCTGAGGGACACACCTTGGTGACACCCTCCACTCAGAGATATAGGAAGTCTACACTTGGACTTAACAGATGCCCAATTCAGAGTCAAACATTTCCCCAAGCTCCTACTCACACCAGGCGCTGTGCTAGGTGCTCATCCATGTCAACCCTTTCAATCTCAAGGTCACACCACACACAGGGTATCAGACCCCATTTTGCAGATAAATAAATCAGCCTTCAGAAAGAGTAAGTGGCTTGTCCAAGTAACTCAGACCCGAGTCTTGGGCTTCTGAGACCTTCTTTTCATTCTCTGTGACCCACAACCAACACCCACAACCAGTTTCACAGGAGAATGCGGAACTACAATGTTACAATGTACCAGCCTTGAATTTGCTCATCCAATAAAACACAAACCTATAAACCAGTTATAGAAAATGCCAACTCAGGGTCAATTGTTCCAAAAGAGATTTGCTGAATACCTGTAGTACGCACACTGACTTTTTTTTTTAAGCACTGATTTTCTTATATAGCTTTATCCCTCTTTAACCTTCCCTCCACCACCACCTAAATACACAATACACAAGGGGAAAAAAACATCAAAACTAAATTCATAAAATGTATGAGTTTTAGTGTGCGCTGACTACTGATAGAGATGCTAAATGAGAGGCAGATGACCTGAAAGTGATGGTTAAGAAAAAAATGAAAAGCTAGGTAATCCACAGCTGCAGAAGGAATCCCTAAATGACAGGGATGGTGTGTGTAACCGATATAATCTGTCATTTCACCTCCCAGATAGACTTCAATCCTGAAGTAGAAAGAGAAAATAAGTATTTACAGACTTGCCAAGAATCAGCTTTATCAAGCATCTGTATCAGATCCTCCCTTCCATCTAAGGTACAGGAAGACAGCCAGACAGAACAGGATCTTGGGGAATAAAGGGCTAAAAGAGTGTAGTGACCATCAAACCCAAATCCCTAGGAATCTCTGGACTAACCCAATGACCTGCTCCATGTCACCAAGAAATGCTGGTGCAGAATACAGCTCTTTTGTCACAGTAGAGGCCGCTGTCAAGCCTCTGGCCACCCACAAGCACTTGCTAGTATCTACACAAGGTAATCCAGGGAACACCACAGAAGAAAAGGCACACACAGCTGGCCAATTTGGCAAACCATGAAGGTGTACTGTGCCAGACCTTAAAACCCAAATTACTTTTTACTCACATCATTTGCTTATATCCAGAGAAACTGGCCCAAATGATTTTAAAATATAGTCCACACTCCTATTTCCCAAAGAAAGAATTCTACAAACACAGCCACCCACAAAATGAGCGACAGTGGGTCTGGTACCTTCCCCAGAAGGCCATCTCCGGGTGGCCTTTCATGTACATGGAGTCGCTGGCATCATTCAGCCCGTTGGTGATCCCGCCAGAGTAGCCCAGCACAATCCCGCCATCTGCTGAGACACTCAGGACATCCTGGTGTCCTCCCGCTGAGGTCCTCTCCAAGAACTGACCCCCTTCTTTAATGCGCTGCTGGATCATTGGCGTAAGGGGCATCTCAAAGCTGAAGTAGCTATCTGGCTCCGAGTAGAGTGTCTCCAGCGACTCTGCACTGTAGTACAAAGAAGTGTTGTCCAAGATGGTCTCAAACTGGGAGCTGTACACGTCAGTGGAGTCCTCGGTGTACCCTGGCCCAAGCAGTTCATCATCTTCGCCCCTGAGGTGCTCCTCCTGCTCCAGGATCCTAGAATGAAAATAAGAGTAAAGAATTTCAATACTAGGTGATTTGGCGGTGGTGGGGGCGCTACTGGGGACTGAGCTCAGGGGCACTCGACCACTGAGCCACATCTCCAGCCCTATTTTATTTACAGACAGGGTCTCACTGCATTGTTTAGCAACTCACTTTTGCTGAGGCTGGCTTTAAACTCACGATCCTTCTGCCTTAGCTTCCCAAGCCTCTGGGATTACAGGCATGTGCCACCGAGCCTGGCAGGTTAATTTTTTTTTTCCTGCTTCAATCTAATAAAAATGATGTTCTGTAGGTATAGCTCATATTCACTGAACTTGTGTGTTAACCATATTTAGGTTTTTAAGGTTTTTTTTTAAGTTTTGGGGGGTTCTGGGGATTGAACCCAGGAATGTTCCACCAATGAGCTACATCCCACGCCTTTTTTATTTTTTTTTTTTTATTTTGAGACAGGGACTTGCTAAGTTGCCCAGGCTGGTCTAGAACTTGCAATTCTCCTGCTTCAGCCTCCCAAATCACTGGGATTATAGGTATGTGCCACCATGACTGGTTAACATATTTAGGAAAGAAGATATGAAACACATTTGGGTTAAAAAAAAATTCTTAGCACACATGTGACTACACTGTAAATAATTTACTAAAGTTTCAAACCAGTTTCTTAATGTATGAATGCATCTGGTCCAATGAATATTTGCATAAAATATTAAATTCTCAGCTATGCTCCACAAATTCTGACCATATACAACTACCATCATTTTTAATTATGAYAGAAGCAGGTAAACATACCATGCAAACTTGATACAGTAAATTTTCTGTATACACTAAACTGAAAGGGAAGGTACTGGGGAATAAGACAGATCGAATTGTTATGTACATGTACGAATATGGCATAAGGAATCCCACTTTTAGGTATAATTTTAATGCAGCAATAAAAATAATTTTCTAAAAATACACTAAACTTTCATCAGTTATTAATACTTTCTGATTTAAATAAAAACAAATGTCCTGGAAAGGATGACTTCAGCAGAATCCAAGGGCTGCCCTCTGCTGACAACAAAGCCACACTGCAGAGAGCACAGGTCCAAAAGTGCCCCACCATGAATGATCGAAGAAAAGCCCAGGGACATGGTAACTTCAGGGCCACCCAAAGAGGCTAGCACCAACTTACAGCTGATAAACTGGGTGGGACACTGATTTTGACAGATAAATATAAAAAATACACAACATGTTTTTCAAATACTAAAAATGAATGTCAGTATGACTAAATGAAGTTTAAAACTTGGTGAGGTGGATCAGTAGTAAAAGCAGGAGGCTGAGCCAGAAAAAGGGCTGAGTTATATATAGCTCCATGGCAGAACTCTTACCTAGCATTCGTGAGGCCCTGGATTGATCTYCATCATGGGGGGGTGGGGGGGAGAAGAAAAACCTGGACCTTAATTCTGGCTATACCAGTTACTAGGTATGTAAGCAACTTTACTGAACCTCTCTGAGCCTCCAATTCCTATAGATAGGAATAATAAGTATCTCATAAATAATCCATAGTTCTAGTTATTACCAGAAGACAACAATGCAGTTGTTCTTGTTGTGTTTTAAGTTGTGGAAGGTCCACCATGTACCAAATTCTATTCTGGGCTTATATCTCCTAAGGTCTTCCCACTGACCTTGGAATAAGACACAGAGTTCTATGCAGATGCTCCTTCCCACAGCCTGGCTAACTCTTTTTCATTCCTCAGATCTCAGCTTAATGACCATTTCCAAAAAAGGGCCTTAGCCAAGCCATCAACTGAATGAGCCTCTCCCTCTTCACCAAAATTATTCTGACGTGTCTTTGTTTTTTTCCTTCATAGTACCTAGTACGATTTGTGATCCCACACTAATTAATGTGTTTACAGGAAAAATGTTTTTCCTCAGTGGTCAATTCCATGAGGCCAGTGACCACAGACTCTATCAATTTTCAACATTCCTTTATGCCCAGCATCTCACAGGGTCAAGGACAGTGAACAGTGGGGAAATATTTGTGGAAAGAATGGAAGGAAAGAGAAGAATGAATTAACAATCTGAACAGAAATACACATTCTGACAGGAATATAAATACTAAGCCATATGCCACGTATCAAGGCTGGTTTGAGGAAGCTGTGGAGATTTTACATGCTAGGGGTGGGAGAGGATCCTAACGGTCTTCCTAAAGGAGCACAGGTCTCAGCAGACATCTCCTTGTATAGAACAAACACAAAACTCAAATCACAAAGAACACTTTCCCCTTGACAGAGATGTGCTCCTACATAAGCTCTAACACAGGTGTCATGAGGGCTGACAGGGGACGAGGGTGCACATTCCAGTGCAGTTCACAGCAAATGACTCTACCCAAAGGAACACAGGTGGTCAGTGGGTCCTGGTTTCCATTCATCCAAGCACAGAGCTGGTACGGATCTCAGAAATGTAGACCAGGATGAATATCATGCCATACCAAGTTTAGACACCAGGGCCACAAATCAAAACACATACTACTTGTGAGAAGAAGGGAGTCCCATGTGAGTTCTGCAAACAAATGAATTATAGAGTCTTCCTCTGCTGTTTTGAAATGTGCTCTCTAAACACGGACAACTCCAATCCAGAACTTCTGGGTTCACATCTGAATGCAGGCTACATTGTAACTGGTGTGCACTACACTGCAGCCGTTGGGATTTGTACCCAAGAAATGGCTGAGTTAAGATACAGTGACTATGTGAGATACAACAAAAGAGTCTAAATCTTTTCACACTGTTTCAAAGAACTATGGAGTGCTTTAGTTACCTTGATGCTGAAAAACTCAAAACCTGATGAATACAATACAATATCAGTGAAATGGAGTTGCAAAACCAAGGGTTCAAGGAAGAGTTCAACAGTCTCTTCTGAAAGTTTGCCTGGTCCATGCCTAATGGACTTTGTTACAAGATCACCTTAATGTCCTATAAACTTGGAATCTAAGAAGGGCCTAGCTTAGGACACCTCTCTTTCATTCTATGATGAGGAGGATCCAGAGTACCACAGTCCCCCACTTATCTGCAGGGGACACATTATTCCAAGACACTCAGCAGATGCCAGAAACCAAGAATAATATTCAAATTCCAAGAATACTGTGTTTTTTCCTAAACATACATACCTATGATACAATTTAATCAATAAATGTAAGCACAGTGAGAAACTAACAATCATAAAATAAAAGAATTTATACCAATATACTATAATAAAAGTTATTTAAAACTTGGGACTCGCTTATTTCTGGAATGCCCCATTTAATATTTTCAAACCTCAGAAAGTGACACTTGAGGTAAGGGGGAACTGCGGTACTGTGAGTTGAGTTCTGTCAAGCACAGGACGATGGCTTTCTCTAACCAGGCATCACAGACAGCAAGGTGACTCTGGGAGCTCACCTTCCCTTGTCTCTCTCCGGCTCAGCTCTCTTCTCAAGATGTTGTCTGTTTTCCTTGAGGAAGACTTCATCCTCGCCACTCTCCGCAAGAGGCACAGGGGAAAATCTCCCTGAGCTAGTGCCAGGCCTCTCCGAGGGGATTTTCCAGGTTTCATCCCAAACACGCTCAGTTACACCAGCTGAATGGCCRGGAGCAGCAGCTGAGATGAGATGGCTTGGCACTTTGGAAAACTCTTTGCTTACAGGAGGGGCTATCCTTTCCAGCGATGTCTCAAAGTCAGCAGGAGCCTGTGTCTCTCTCTTCCCTCCTTCTGTCCATAGTATTTCCACCCCTTGAAATTCCACATGCTTGATCCGGCCTGCACGTCCCAGRGAGCCTCGATCACATCCCCCAGGGTGCTCTCTCCTAGCATCAGAAATCTGCTCTTTTGAAAAGCCAACGCTGCCTGCAGAGTTATCAGTTACTGCTGGGCTCCGCAGGGAGGACACGGGATAAGCTGGCTCGGAAGCACAGAGAGCCCCTTTTCTCCCAGTAGTAGTTACCCGGGGAAGCTCAGCCTGGGTCTCTCCTGTTAATAGTGCAAGTGCAGTCARATCTTTCTGGATGCTCAAATAAACATTTTCCTCAGTGGTTCCTTCAGCTGGAAGAACTGTATCTGGTGACGGTTCCCGGCCAGCAGAGAATGGCTTGGAGGCTCTCTGTGTTTTATGACTGGCAGTGTCCAGCTCTTTTTCCACATGCTGAAATGAAAAACTAGAATCAGCATCTTTGTTCAGTACCTTTGTAGCTTGTAATGTTCCTGAAACTATTCTGGCTTCTGTGTCTTTCAGAGCAGAAATCAGAGAGTCAATGGATTGTAAACTTTGTTCCTTGAGGTGACTTTGAGAGGGGGCTTCAATGACATCTTTTGGTCCTTCCCTAATACTGTTGAGCCCAGAGCTTTGGCCWGCAAGAAGATGGACCCCCGGTGGCCCTGGCGGGTGGCATGGCAGAGACTCTGCATCAAACTCCAAAGAAGCTCTCAGGCCTTCTCCGCCTTCCTCCATGGTCCCATATTCTGGAAATTCATTTGTGACATTCGGTGGGAGTAAAGTGCTTCCTCCATGATCACCTGTGGATACAACAGAAGAGAAACATGACTTATTTCGGGACACCAGGCTCTCATATGTGTTCATCGGTATCCAACATTAGCTCTTGACAATACTTAGGTATCTGATTCTTTCACTACACCTCTTTCCAACACCCTGTGGCTCTCATACTTACTTTATAGCCACCCCCGCTAGCATACATGCATGTCACAGCACAGGAGGCARTCCAATGACACATGCCAAACTTAACCCTGCTTCTGATAAGAGTCCCATGCATTAGCATGCAGTAACTCTGCTACTTCAAGGGCAAAAACAGATTAAAATGAATAAGTCTCATCTTCCAAATTCCACTGGGGAGACAGCAACATAAAATACTTATGTTGGTCACAATCAAACAGCCTTATGAATGTGCAGGACAAGCTCTGAGACAAAACCTCAGAGGAAAGACTCTAAAGTCAGTATATTTTCTAGCCAGAAGTCTCCCCATTCCACTATGCAACTTCAGTGGGAAAGAAAATGGCCTTCAAAATACCCCTGAAGAAAGAGAGTGCAGCCAACATGGAATAGGAAAYGGAAAGTTGAAAAGACATCTAGGATCCCCAAAGCCCAGACTTACTGTTCAATTTTTTAATTGATAAATGAAAGTTATATGTATTTATGGTGTCCAACATGATATTCTGATAAATGTATAYACTGTGAAATGGCTAAATCAAACCAACTCATATATCCATTAACTTTATAATCCTTTTTGAATGTGGTGCGAACATGTAAAATCAAGTCTTAGMAACTTTCAAGTGTACAACACCTTGTTTAAAACTTCCTGGTTAACAATAGATCTCCTGGATTTATTCCCTGCACCTGAAAATGTACATTTTTTGACCACTATCTTCTCAATGCCACCCCTCCCTCTCCCATTAACCACTCTTCTACCCTCTACTTCTATGACTTTGACTTTTTTTTAATATTCCACATGAGATCACCAACTGCATACAATTTCAATATTATCTTATGCAGAACCGCAACATATGAAACAGAGAAAACAATATTTAATTAGGCTACATTTATTATAATGAATCAAATTTACATTTTCCTATTAAAACGACAAGTCAGTGAGAACTGAAAATGGGGACACTGACACATAAAATACTGAAATTGGGGGTTTACAGATAATAGTTACAATCTTTTCAGCCTCAGTACCAATCTCTCCTGAACTGGGTTTTGGTGACTCTGTATCTACACTAGAAATACAATATACTCACTTCTACTTTACAAAGAAGGACATTTGTTGCTGTTAAACCACAACAGAGTTACAACGTTCTTAGTTATTAAAATACTTCATATACGTACAAATAAATACACTGAAATGGCATGAGAGTCTTGATTTAAGTCATTAACAAAACAAGGCAACTTGGAAACATGATTTAACAGTGGTACCCTCCATGTGTTAAAATTTGATAAATGGTAACAACACACCTGAGGGTATATGTTGTTTCACATGCCATTTTCTTAAATAATTTGAAATGTAATTTTTAAAGCTAAATTGGAATCAAATGTTGATGGAATCTAAGAAGCACTTCAGCATGTCACGAGACAGAACCAACAGCTATGGCACGCTGAAATTTTTGAAAAGGAAGCAAATTCTCCAACACTTAATTTGAAAATGAAGACATGTAAAAACAATAGATGGTAGCATATTAGCATTTATTTTTTTCAGTGCCAAATATATTATTAGTACCTCTAATTTTCCCCCTCTTAAGATCCAGTGGGTTTTTGGTATATTCACAAAATTATGTGTAAGTATTACCAGTATCGTCACAGAACATTTTCAATATCCCTAAAAAAAACTTCCAAATCCATTAGCAATCCCTCCCCATCTCACAATTCCTCAGTCCCTAGTAAGTACCAATCTGCTGTCCATCTTGACGGCTTGTGTATTTTGGACATTACATATATAATATACAAGTCAAATAATATGTGCCATTTTGGGTCCAGTTTCTTTCACTTAGCTCAATGTTTTCAAGGGTTATTCATATTGTAGCATGTATCAGAATYCCATTCCTTTTTATCACCAAATAATATTGCATTATATGGAAATACAACATTTTCTTTATCCACTTATCAATGGGGATGGCTATTTGGGCTGTTTCCAKGTTCTGGCTACTATGAATAATAAATTTGTATATGAGTTTCTGCATCTAAATATAGCTTCAATTCTCTTGAGTGAGTGAATTTCTAGGTCATTTGGTAAATCTATGTTTAATGTTTTCAAGAAGTGCCAAATAGTTTCCCAAAGCAACTGCTCTATTTTATGTTCCTATAGCATGTCTGAGGGTTCCATTATTACACAGGTTAGAGGATATAAAGTGGCATATCTCTGTGATTCTGATTTGTATTTCCTCCATGGACTAATGATATTGAACATCTTTTATCATGTGCTTACTGGCATTTTTGTGTAGCTTCTTTACAGACATGTCTACTCAAATCCTTTGACAATGTTATAATTGGTTTATTTGTCTTATTGTTTAGTTGTAAGGGTTCTTTATATGTTCTGACAGAGGTTCTTTATCAGATATATATTTAGAAAACACCTCCCATTCTGTGCATTGTCTTTTCACTTAATTGATGTCTTTTGAAGCACAAAAAAAATTTAATTTTGATTAACCCAACCTTACCTATTATTCTTTTGTTGTTTATGCTCTTGATGTCACATGTAACAAATCATTGTCTAATCCAAAGTTACAAAGACTTACTCCTGTTTTCATTTAAGAATTTTACAGTGGGCTGGGGATGTGGCTCAAGCGGTAGTGTGCTCGCCTGGCATGCATGCGGCCCGGGTTCGATCCTCAGCACCACATACCAACAAACATGTTGTGTCCACCGAGAACTAAAAAATAAATATTAAAATTCTCTCTCTCTCTCTCTCTCTCTCTCYYCTCTCWCACWCTCTYTWWAAAAAAAAAAAGAATTTTACAGTGTTAGCTATTACATTTAGATCTTCAATCTATGTTCTAGTTAACTTTTTTGAAGTAGAGATTCAACTTTATTCTGTCACATGTAGATATCCTGATGTCCGGCACTATCTATTAAAAAGGTATTCTTTTCTCGCACTGACTTGCCCTGATACCCTTGTAGAAATTCACTTGTTCATAAACATAAAGGTTTTTTGGGACACTTAAGTTACTGCACTGAGCTAGATATCTATCTGTATACCCGCATCTCACTATCTTGATTATTATCTTGTAGCTCCAAGTAAAATCTGGAAGCAACAGTCCTCTAACTTTGTTTTTCCTTTGTCCRATGGTGATGGCCACTCTAAGCCCCTCATACATTCTGCATGTATTTTAGGATCAGCTTATCAGGCAGCTGAGATTCTGAAAGACACTGTAATCAATCTATAGAGTTCTGGATTCTTAGCCATATTCTTACTGTATCTTTAGATCCATGATCAAGGACTGTCTTTCCATTTATTTATTCTTCTTTCTTCCAACAGTGTCTTGAAGTTTTAAATTACAAGTTTTGGATTACTTTCATTAAATTTATTCCCCTAGGCATTTTTTTTTTGATACTACTAACAGTGAAGTTTTTTTTTTTTACTTTCATTTCCAGATCACTGATTTCTAGCATAAAGAAATAAAATCTATTTCATTGATATGTTGGCCATATACCCTGCACCTTGATGAACTTGTGTTTTAGTTCCAATAGTGTTTTTATAGATTCCTTAGGATTATCTACATACAAGATCATGCCACCTATGAACAGAGGTGGCTTGATTTCTTCCTTTCTGACCCCAATCTATCTTTCTTACATATTTCTCTCAGAGCTCTCCTCTCGAATATGCTGTGCCATTGCTTCCAAAGTGAAAGAGAGGTGCTGCACACACACCTTCAAAGGGTTCTCTTTAATTCTAATATATACTGGAAATAAAACTGCCCAAGTGGACACTCTCTACTTTCTAATCCTCTGACTTGCTCAACCTCTTTTTCCCACCTGACATACTCCTTCCCATCTCAGCATGATCATTTTTTTTCTCCCACTTTCCAAGGCCTAATTCCAATTCCCTCTCCTTAACTGAGCCTTCCCTCAACTTGAGAGAAATCACCTCTCCTCCTTAAAAATGGCAAGAGCCTTTAGCTGTGTGTTATGTTCAGTACAAATACGTGAAACCAATGAACACAGTCAGCTCACACCTGAAAGCTTCAAAAGACTACAACTTCTAACCCATCGTGAAGCGTTTAGAGAAAAACAACCACAGTGACCACCAAAGCCATGTACATATGTAACCCCAAAGCACACCGCAGTGAGATTCATTCAACGAAGGGAAGAAAGGTTAAGCCTCATCGTGAGGGAGTCCACTGTGTGGACTGGTTTAAACTGTCATCTACAACAGCAATGAAAATAAACACTGGCCCAGAGAAAAGCAAACAAAAGAAAATTAAAGACAAGAGAGGCCTCAAAGAAACTAACAATTCTTGTGCCCCATTTTTTAAGAATTTTACTGAGATGCCTCTTTCTCAGGGACGGCAACAAGTGCATCCACTGTGGGCAAATGCTTGTGCTCTTTGACATAACAGTTTGACAACTTGTCAAACCAAGAGATCAGACAAAAGGGAGGGGCCAAGGCAAGGCCCTGCAGGACACCCYGCTGGCTTCCCACCTTGTTGCTCCTCTGGTCTAAGTTTACTGCTCTAATAAGTGCTAAGGAGTTTCATTTACTTTATCAACTAGTCGAGGACCAGCACAGACAGACCAGGGGAAACAAATGCTCCGAGAGGCTCAATGACCTGACCAAGTCGAGTACAATGCTGTTCCACACAGTATGATATCAGAACTAAGGGTCAGGACTCATTCCTGGTCTCCCGTCTCTCAGCAATAAGTTCATGGGAAAAACTTGGTGCTGCTGAGTTGTGAGACCACCATTTCCAACAGCAGCAGCAGCAGCAGCAGCAGCAAACACGATACGCAAAGTCTTCCAGCGGCTGCTTCAGTGTAGAAGCAGCCTTCATGGTCATTCTCCCTCGGGTGG